GCCTTCAATGAACTGACTTCCAACTTATAAACAGAAAATTCCATTCTCACAACCATATTGAATCTAAAGTGTCAATCAAACTCATCGGTATATACGCAACATGTAAGGATGAGTCAATGAGTTTTTTGATAATGTATGACAGATATGACAGATAAAAGCCTAGCGCGTTTTCACCGTTATCCAAACCTGGCCTTGGGATTGGCGTCGATCAGAATGTTCCAGTATAACCAATCTACAGCTGGCTTAAGGGGTCTGCCGTCGACTCTTGGTGTGCTCGACCTTTAAATCTGCTCATCTCACATTTGCTGTCGAAATGAAAGTGCACATGTGACTTGGATAACCTTAGTAATACTTCATGAGCTGTTGATAACTGTTAGTATTACCTGAAACATCTGATATTGATGATAGGTCTCTCAAAGACTTCTGCTGCTGATAGTGAGAATCTTATATATTACATAGCAAAGTTAATCGCTATTGCTGGACATCTATTCAGGAGATTTCGCTTCGTATCGTTGAATTTGCCCCAATTTCTTTTGGTCAGTCCTGATGACAAAAGACTCGGAACCGAATTGGCATTGGCAAAACTTAGCAACGCTAGTATACTTTTGAAGCCGTACGGCCAAATCTTGTCAGGCAGATCATGAAGCTATCTTTACTTATCCTAGGTCTTCGAGTTTCGATCCTTTAGGTGGAAGCACCTTACAAAATACGGTTCCCTAACGGATAGACTAGTTGATTCGAATTCAATTAACAGCATCGGCAAACATGAATGACATTTTTGAGAGAATAGCATAGAGCAAAGCAATTAATGGCAGTCTTATCTTCGAGGTTACTCCGATGGTCGTTTATTCTAAATAAACTGTGATATATGCACCTAAAACTTATCTTTCCTTCGTTGATTCACTCACTTCCTATGCCATTTTCTGAAACTTTATTAAACGCGATTTTGTTTAGCCGGTCTTAAGGTAATCGTAGTGAAAAAGTGCGGGAATTTGAAATTTGAAATATTTTCTCTATGATTTCACTTGTCTCTATTTGTTTCAAATATAAATCACTTAAATAATTTACTTTACATATTTTTAATTGGTTTATGTTGATTTTCCTATACTTTTTCCTCATAAAATAGCTTTAACCGAAAAACACGAAAATGCACATTCACCCAAATGCAAATGCAAGCAACTATTCCCACGCGTTATTTTTGCATGCTTTACCAGACACACAGCACTTTTGCCCTCTGTTAATCTGTTTGGTTCACCCTCAAACCTATTTAATTCGCCTGCTCTGCTCATGTGGGACACGCATATGGTACAAGGACGTCAAATTCCTTATGATCCACAAAATTCACCTGCTGATTACCCTTTACGCACAGTAATTTGTTTTGCTACATTGCAATTTACATTTAGGTCCTTGATAACAAGCAGTACTATTGTTTCTAATTAACAATTCCCTATCTCCACTTATTCCGTAGACATTCACGTTTCCTTTTACAAATACTCAATTTCAGTTAAACCTTCTATTCAAAGCAAGTTGGCCTGCAGCGAATGAAGTAACTTATCATTTTATTCCGTTTGTCAATAACACAAGGAATAACAACACTGCTTTATTATCCTATTGTTCCTTATTTTCTAATCTCCATTACTTATTACTATATGCATGAAGCGGCATCTTCGAATAGGCTTACCAAGAGCCTTATTCCTACTGTATATTGCATGTCAAAACATTGTTACTTACATAAAATCCAACTTAGAGGGGCCAGAACATTTAATTCCCTATGAAGTTTGGCACAATGTTGCTCGAAACTTCTCAACTGTCTTGCTTCGCTTGGAAAATGGGCTCAACTTGAGCACCTTTTAATTGCAGATGTGCAGACCAAGACTGTCTCAATCTCCTTTCCTCTGTCTTACTGCCAGGACCGTCACTTTAGGCTCATTGTGTCCACAGTCCTCTAGCAAAGAAGTCATGTTAATTTCCAGTGTCGGACTGTGAACTTGTTAAACTTCCAGACATTTCGATGTGTTAATGATACATGCCACTCTTAGGGCCAAGCTGCAATTTGTCCGAGACGAGTGAACCTCATCCCTTGATAAACTTTCTGCGGGACGTTTGTATTACCTCTCGTCTTTTTGTCCTGGTACATCCGCATACCCCTTATCCTCGTACCTCAATCCTTCATCACAACTTGTTCGTGCCGATTTGCCCCAAAGATATGCCCTTTTTTAGCAGGTCTAATGAGGCGTTCTCAGCTCTCCTACTATTTTTCTCTCTCATTTCTGATGTATCGGAAGTGCTCATCCCACTTGCTCTTTCAATTTATAGACTACTTCATTTAACCCCTATCCGAATCTCTCTTGTGCCCTCGAAGATACATTTCTTGGTTGCTAGTTGATTGATATCATTTGGCTCCAGCCACCGTTTCTCTTTAACTCGAGGCATTATTTCTCACAATTGGTCTTAAACGTTTGTCAGCACTGAGTCGGTCTTCGAAACTCTGGTTCCCAAACTTGTTGATATCACCCTAGCGTTATATACCAACTTAACACTCCAGCATCAACCTTACACTTCTCATGGTTAGGCATTGTCTTCACGGACTATCTTTATTGTGTAGCCCGTAATCTCTGAGCCTATGACGATCGAGGCTAACCTCCAAATGTAGTAGTTGTTTCTTTGGGCTAAATACCCTCATCTCAATCGTCTTCTCTCCTATTGTCCCTCGCCTGGCTCCTATTTGCGATCCCTTTTCCTCTGGTTCAAGATAGCTCTTTGATCCAGGCGTTTCCTCTTTGCTAGTCTTGTTGCTTCCATGTTCTCTATTAGTTTGCTTGTTCTTAATGAACTAATTTTGCTTTCCTCCAATCTCCTGCTTACTAGATTCCTCCCAGTACATAAATCGACGGCCCCATGATCTTTCTTTTCCATGTATTTTTTTCCGTATAAAGACGTTTCTGTTGCCTTCCAGTTGATCTCATGTCCTGTCTGTGCAATATGTTCTGCTATTTCTAATCTCCTACTCCAAGTTTTATACAGAGCCTATAGCATTCTATGATCCTCGTCCTGGTTTTTCTTTCCATTTCGCCAATATACTTCTACTCACAGTCCTGAGCCATCCAATATGTTCATCTTCTCATTTTGCGTTGGTAAACTTATTAGGAGTGCTTTCTTCTCCTTCTTTATCAACTGAATACTACATTTTCCTAATATTGTTCGTAGTTTCCAAGTTCATTGCAAGAGGAATAGTATATCCACTTGTATCCTATCTATCCTAATTTTCCTTTTCTAATCTCCATCTTGTCATGTGGTTTTCACCACCCCTATGTTTCTTTTTATGATATCTATTGGATAAACCCAGAAATCCATATCTGTTAAGCATAGGCTCCAAATCGTAATACTCTACAATATTTTAATCTTTACTCTAGTCGTGATGAGACTGGAAAATGATGATTATTCCTATATGCGTCTTCTCTTTGAACAACACTCTTGATTGTTTAGTTTGTTGAGCGAATGACTTAGACGTCTATGAATGATAGCTGCTCATCCTCCTCCACCTCCGTTGTGAAATTGAAAACCTTTTATTGTAAGAGGAACTTTTATTGTCTATCATACGGTAGGATGCAGTGATACAGACGTCTTCCTAAAGGGTAAAGTTTTTGACCAGGGCTTTCGTTTCCACTTCTTTGGTACGGATTGATCTTCCACATTATTTTTTTTATTTGATAATACTCTGGAGATACTGTCTTTATTCTATGATTTTAAAGAGATATATGCCAATTTCGTTTCCCTCTCCCTATTCTCTCAGGTGCCGTTTGCTGAAGTGGCCGGAAAAACGCTGGTATTCGCCGTTTACGACTTTGATCGTTTTTCAAAGCATGACCAAATTGGTCAGATCCAGGTTCCTTTGGGCTCCGTAGACCTGGCCCGCGTCATTGAAGAATGGCGTGATCTTAGCCCGCCGGATGATGATGAAAAAGTGAGTTGTTCTTCATCACCCACTGACAACAATTTGCATACCACTAATCTTTTACATTATAGGCGAACTGGTAATAGTGATCTCATCTGAGTTTTTTTTGCCCAGACATAGACATCATCAAGGCTCTTGCAGAAACGTCAAGTTAATATTAAGTTAAAAAGACTAAACGGCCATATTTGGCATACCATAAATATTCGCAAATGGGGCGAACCTGAAAATATTCAAAAAGAGATAGATAATTGAAAATACGACAAATAAATGACTAGATACATTTTGACCAAAAAAAGTGAACTGCCATCAGAACTTGTCTTATCCCGTATGGTATAGGCCAGAGGTAAGGAAACTACACTGTAGCTCATAAGATCGTTATAGCTTAAGACGATTTAGTGAGGACTATCACATATTTGCCCAAGGGTCTGACCATACTTTAGCTTCCGTTGTTCGTATGTCACACTCAGATATGTATAAAAATGTGAGAAGTCTTTTAAACCGATTTGGCTTTCATTTGAAGACAATTCACACTTAGTTGAATTTGGGGCAAAGGGCTTTACTGACCGGCCTCATTAGAATGAGAGGTTTTATTATGATGGCGAGCATTTTTTTTAGCAATTCGCCATTGGTCTCGCCTAAATTCTCGTCTTCTTCCTTACTGAATAAATTTGTGTAGTACTCACTTTTGTCATATGATAGGAAGCTTTGGACTTAACAACGACGCATCTTCACCGAACACCGGGCCGTAATTATTCATAATCCAAATTACGCATTGCCTGATTTGGGTGGATGATTGCCTTCTTGTGTATACGACAAATGATGTGCATTTAATAATCCTGATCCCATTTCAGAAG